GGGCGCGGACGGGGCGGCCGCGGAGGCGCCGCGCGGGTGAGCGAGGGGCGCGGGGCAGCGCCGGGGGGCGGCGCGGGGCCGCTCGTGTGTGCGGGTGCGCACCTCTGTGCGCGCATAGACGTGTGCTTCACGTGTGTGTACGTGTATATATGTATGTTTATGTATATTTATGTGTATATGTGTGTATATATGTGTATATGTGCGCGCGTGTGTGTATATGTATATATGTGTGTATATGTGTATATATGTATGTATGTATATATGTATGTATGTTTATGTATATATGTATGTGTGTGTATGTATATATGTGTGTATATGTGTATATATGTATGTTTATATATAGTGTATATATGTATATATAATGTGTGTGTGTGTATGTATGTGTGTGTATATGTGTATATATGTATGTTTATGTATATACGTGTATATATATGTATATATGTATGTATATGTATGTATATATGTGTGTATATGTGTATATATGTATGTTTATGTATATATGTGTATATATGTATATATAATATATGTGTGTGTATGTATATATGTGTGTGTATATGCGTATATATGTATGTTTATGTATATATATGTGTATATATGTATATATACGTATATATATGTATATACGTATATATACATATACATGTATATATATGTATATGTATGTACATATATGTATATGTGTATATATATACATATACATGTATATATATGTATATGTATGTATATATGTATATATATGTATATATGTATATATATGTATATATATGTATATATATGTATATATATAATATATGTGTGTGTATGTATATATGTGTGTGTGTATGTGTATATATATTTATGTATATATGTATATATGTATGTGTATGTATATATGTGTGCGTATATGTGTATGTATGTATTTGTACATATGTGTATATGCATGTACACACACATGTATGTATATGTATGGTGGTAGTGGGATAGGTAGTATATGTAATGTGTATATGTATATGTGTATGTATATGTGCATMTATGTATACACATAGCATATATACACATGTATATGTATATATACACATASATACATATATACATATGTATCCATGTACGGCTATATATCTGTATCTCTGGGTATGCGTGCATGGCTATATATCTATATGCACCTACTTCTGCCATACCTAAACATCTATGTGTTTAAGCTGAATGTGTATGTATGCATAGATGTACGTATTTTTATATACAGACCRTAGTGTGTATGCGTTTATTCATGTCTATCTGTGTATCTGTATCTGATTATAATTGCTGTGAAAGAAAGCTTTCAGAAATTTTTATTTGATGTTAAGTTCTTAAATATGGGAATAAAGAAAGGGTTGGTGGGCTCAAGGGAAACAATTAACAACAGGAGACTGAATTTGTATTTTGGTGTACTGTCCACATCAATGACTTCTGTCTGTGGTCTCCCAGGCCTTATTTTATGATGTAGCTGAGCTTTTTTTTTTTTTTTTTTTTTCTGAGAAACTGAAATGTCATTAAGGCTGGTCTTTGAGCACAGAGGAAACTGGTGGGAAGGAAAGTTCATTAGGCCTCGTGAACTACAGAAGTTCAGTCACCTAAGGTAGTTTCAGTTTTCTAGAGTTTAAATGTTCAGGTATTTCCTTTAATGCTGCCTCCGTGTTCCTATAACACTCATCCCACCCTTACAAAAGTTGACTCATACAGAACTTGTGCATTATGTGTTTGTAATTCCATGACAGGTACTGTGAGTGGGCTGTCAAGGGAAAGAAGAAATGTTCACTGAGAAATTTTAAGTGGTTGTTTTACAGTATTTTATCTCTTCGGAGAATCCTAACCCTTTCTTGAGATACTTAGAGAGAAGATAAGTGGTTGAACTGAAAGGTCATGTGTTGTGCTGTTGACCAGATTATCCCTCTACCATCAGCATATGCCTGTGAGTACTGATTTTGACTTCTGATGCTTGCTTTCTCTTTATTCTTTGATGATCTCTACAACTAGAAAAAAAGCTCTCTTTATTTCTCTAAGCTAATATAAAGGCTTAATAACCCTTCCTGTGCTACATGATAGTGTGTGAAGAAACCTTCATTGCTCTGGATCTTGGAGAGAAAACGTAAGGTGAATTCTGTAAGATGTTGCCAGGGAAGGATTAACCATTGCTACTGCTCATCTGTGATGTTGACCAACAGAAATAAGTTACACAAAACTTTCCAGTTACCGTTAGCAGTTGCTTAACACAGTGTGTGGTAAGACCTGTGTGAACCTGGAATTAATGTAGATAGATTGCTTCTTGCTACTTGTTTCCGCGAACTGTTGTTCATATCTTGCTCCAATCAGATGACATGTTTCTTAACATGCCTGTAATATCACATACAGTAGTCTTCCCAGCATTTCTGCCTCCGGTCACAGTGAACCACTATTAGCAATAGAGAATTTTCCCTGTTGGGGAATTTTCCTGTAAAGGGGGAAGTTTCCTAAAGAAGTAAATGGAGTTACATCAGCATTTAAGTTCTGTCACAAAACAGGTTGCATGCAAGAGCTTTGTTCTCGCTCTTCATCTGACTGAGATTGCAAGACTGACAAGTGTTTTGTGCTGTGGGTATCTTCTGACTTTTATAAAACTGTGTCAGCTAGAGGTGTCAGATACAAATTGTGAGAAGGGAAGAGACACTGTAATAGGTTCTGTAAGAAAAATAGTGATGAGGCAAATGCTTTGGCACCCTGAAAGGTGTCTAGGTTCTCAAGTGGCTTTAGCTGAGCCACCTGAGCGTTGTGACTGCTCAGGGAGAGACAGACGAAGGCTCTGTAATGGCTATTGCAGAAGACTTTTTCATGTGCACCTAGACATTTTGCTTTCCTCTATCTGAAAGTGAAATTAAATACAGTAGCAGAGATTGTCAGAGCAGATGGTCAGTCTTGAGGGGTTTTGTGAGGGGTAGTGTTATGTTTCTTAGTAAGGCTTTGCTTGGCAGTTGGAGAAAGCATGCAAATCAAAGTCCTTTAGTTGCAGTGTACAAGAATCAGAGTCATAAAGATGCTAGCTCTCTGACATGGTTTTCCGAGGAGTTCATCAAGTCTTTCCCTGCAGTTAATGCCTACCTTCTGACTTCTTGCTGAAAAAGTGGATATTAGTCACCTGTGATGTGAGRTGTGTGTTATCTGGCTACAAGCCGGGTATGTATGTATGGGCAGCACAGCGTGCCTGTTSCCATCAGTTTCATGAGTGTGCCCTGCTGGAGCAGGCCTGACCAGAGCACACGTTGGGACTGGTATTCTTCCACCTTGCTTGAGGAGGTTTATTCTGGAGCTCAGATGGTGCTCTGCCAGGTACTGGCATAACGTTGAAAGCGTTCTCATGCCTCCCATCACCAGAAACTTGGGTCTCTTAGCTACCTCGGATTAGGCAGGAGTTTGATGGTGCTTTTAAGAACACCACTTGTGGTTAGGAAATAAATCTGATTCTCTAACCATGTGATTCTGGAATATATTTATCAGTGGAACAGAACCTAAGGATCTTATTTATATTTTCCTATCCCTTTTGACATCCTTTTGTAATTGCAGAACGACCTTTTGTAATTGCTCATGCCTGCCTGACTGTGTATTACAATGCCTTTATTCTTCCATCTCTATTCATATCGCTCTCCACAAATTCTGTGCTGGGATCAGGCAGTGGAAATCTGAGGGAAAAAGTAGCTTGTGTCAGAATCTGTTGAGAAGAGACTTAAGTCCCGCAAGCTACTGTGATCCAAAGGCACATATATGACCTATGAATGAGAACAATTTGGTTATTTATTACTGTCTTTGTGTTGCAAGCCAGGGGAAAAAAAGACAAAACCATTARAAGATTCTCAAACCAGATATATTTTCATCATTTGGAGCATTTGATGTTGCCTAGTTGGTTGTRCAAATACTGGAACCACCAGTAGAAACGGTTTAATGTAATCTTTGCTAATTTCTGTGACTGTTCAGGTATGCAAATAGAGAATTTTATCTAAATAAGATTGTAGATATTTCTGTATTTTAAACAGGCTTGCATTAAAGAGAGTTTAAGTTTTGCTTGAAGGTAATCTGAAAAAAGAAAAAAAAAGGTGAGGTTGTTTGAATCTACTACTGCTATGACTCAGAATATAGACTTGGGAAGCGTGGGTCTGTGAAGTAAGTTTGTGAATGAGCATAAATAAGTGTGATGTGATGCTAATGTGTAGGAGCACAAAAAGCCTATCAGCAAAGGTGGGAGGAAGGAATTTTCTTGAGGGAAAACTGAAATAATTTATATGTTCAGAAAAAAATCAAGCAAACAGGTTTTTCTTGTAGGCTGGCAATTTTTAGGACCATTCTACAAATGTGCTGTTGCAAAAACTGTTCCTTAATTAAAAGATTAGGTATCACTTGGATGTTGTTTACAATATATTTATCTTCAGAAGACCTATAATAGCACTGTGGAAAAAGATGTTATAAAATTTAGTAAATTCATAGTAAGGTAAATAAGGCAAGCTGATGGGGGAGAGGTGAGTTCTATTTCTTCCACTCAATCTGTATATAAAGCTTTTCCTCTCCCTTCCTAGCAGCAATGCTCCCAACTACAATTCTTGACACCTACTTAAGCCAATACTTAAAATTCTTTATTTACTAATCAAGAGAAAGAAATAAAGTATATATGTTGCCATAACCAATAGTTAAGTTTTCAAAGCAAATGAAACTGTATATCCTTCCTAAGCCCAAGTAAGTAACTTTCTATCTGATTTGCAGTGGTCGTAGAGGCAGTTTTGGCRTATCTTTGGCTAGAGGGGAGTTCAGTGCTTTCAGTCCAGTTCTTCATATGGAGTGGCTAAAGTGTATTCTACAGCACAAGTGAAAAATAARCAGGTATTTATATTTGCCCATTATTTTATCATTTTAGGTTCTATCTTCACCATGGAAAAGCCTTTGCTTTTGTATACATTTGTGTTCCACTGGCATTTCCTACATGGTAAGAAGCTGAACTGTTTGTTTAATTTTCCTATCTGTGTATAAGCATGGAAATTTYAACTGCTCGGGTAGTTTTCCGTAAAGTATTAGTGTTTTTGTTTTTCTTTGCTTAATGTTTTAAATAAGGTGGTCTTTAAATTAAGCTGTCTATATGTGTGTTTAATATAGTTGCTTTGATAAGAATCTGGATTGAAATACCAGTTGTTGTTTCAGCAGCTGTCCCACTTAAGACATAGTACAGTTTGCAATACACAGTAGTTTCATTGGATATGTCAAACCTGGGAGTGTGTTTTATATTCTTCAGCATCATGTGTAAAAGTCTGTAGTAGCCAGTGTCCATCTGATCCTCAGAAAAGTCAAGGAGGACCTGGGGAAGTGCAGGTCAGTTAGCCTTGCCTCCATCCCTGGAGTGGTGATGGAGCAGCTCATCCTGGATGTCATCTCCAAGCATGTGAAGAAAAAGAAGGTATTCAGCAATAGTCAGCATAGATTCATCAAGGGCAAGCCATCCTTAAGCAACCTGATAGCCTTCTATGATGGGATGACAGGGTGSGTAGATGAGAGAGAGCAGTGTCTGTTGTCTGCATTGACTTCAGCAAGGCTTTTGACAGCATCTTCTGTAATACAAGCTCAGAAAGTGTGGGTTACTTGAGTGGACAGTGAGGTGGAATGAGAACTGGCTGAATGGCAGAACTCAGAGGGTCGTGAACAGCAGGTCTACGTGAACGTAGACTTCAGAGTCTAGAGAAGGCCTATAGCTAGTGGTGTCCCCAGGGGTCAATACTGAGTCATTCCCCTTCAACTTCTTCATCAGTGAGCAGGACAAAGGCACAGAGTCACTCTCAGCAAGTTTGCTGATGATACAAAACTGGGAGGAGTGACTGATGCACCAGAGAGCTGTGCTGCCATCCAGAGGGACCTGGACAGAGGGATGGGTAGAGGGGAACCTCTTGGAGATCAGCAAAGGCAAGTGCAAGGTCCTGCCCCTGGAAAGGAATAACCCCAGGCACTAGGACYATCCCCAGCTSTTTGGAGAAGGACCTGGGGGTCCATGAGGCAGCCATGCAYCTTTGTGGCCAAGAAGACCAGGAGTATCCTGGGCTGCCTTAGGAAGGCTGTTGCAAGCAGGCTGAAGGAGGTGATCCTCCTGCTCTACTCGCCTTGGTAACTGACATCTGGAATGCTGTGTCCAGTGCTGGGCTCCCCAGTAAAAGGGTGACATGGAGCTACTGGAGAGAGGGCTATGAAGATGATGAAGGGACTGGAGCATCTCTCCTATGCGGAGAAGTTGAGAGAGCTGGGCCTGTTTAGACTGCAGGAGAGAAGGCTGAGGGGGGCTCAGTGTGTACCAGTATCTGAAGGGAGAGTGTAGAGAGAATGGGTCCAGACTCTCATCAGTTGTGGTCAGTGACAGGGAAAGAAGCAGCAGACACAAACTGAAACACAGGGAAGTTCATCTGAGTATGAAGAAAAACTTCTCAGTTGTGAGGGTGACAGAGCCCTGGAACAGGCTGCCCAGGGAGGTTGTGGAGTCTCCTTCTCTGGCAATCTTCAAAACCCGCCTGGACATGATCCTGTGCAATGTGCTTAGGTGACCCTGCTTATGTAGGAGGATTGAACTAGATGATCTCCGGAGATCCTTCCAAATCTCAACCCTTCTGTGATGCTGTGACATTCAAATAAACAGCTTTCTCGTAAGAGGCATTACCAACGGGTAGGCAGGGTTCTGAAAGCCACAGCTGAGGGCATGCACATGCATACATCTATTATTTTTAAAAGGATCGTATTGTGTAAATGTACAAACCATATGTATATTTATATATAGATATAAACAGCCCAATTTGTCCTGAACTTGTCTGTGTGCATGCAAAAATTTTAACTGAAATTACAAGTTTGAAAATTTTAATGAGCAGGATAGTATTTGGGGATTTTCAAATGTCCTATGCATGCAATAAAACATAACTTTGAAAATTAGGCTTATAGTTGAGAAATTAAAAACATTCTTCTGAATTTTGTTTTTCAGCTTTATTCACTGTTGAAGCTCCACAGTCAACCTACACGGCGGAATATGGGAACAATGTGACCATGGAATGCACATTTCCAGTGAATGGGCAATTAAAGTTTAGAGATTTAAGTGTCAGTTGGGAAAAAAAAGATGATTCTAGAAAAGATGTTTATGTACTTCTCAAAGGGGAGGAAGACTTCAACAGTCAGCACCATGACTTTAAGGGAAGAATAAAATTGTTGAAAGAGAAACTGAACTTTGGGCAGTCTGTCCTTCAGATCACTGATGTTAAGCTCACGGATGCAGGGTCTTATCGCTGTCTTATTGGCTATGGGGGAGCTGACTACAAGATGATCAGTTTGAAAGTTAAGGGTGAGTTTTACTGCAGGGGGTTTCTATATTTTGCTTTGCAGGCCTATAAGGGAGGGTATTGCAAAAAAATATTTGGACAGAGCAGGCTGGGCCAGAGAACTAATGCAGTTTTCAAAATAATGTCAGTATAATAAACCCTAGATAAATCCTGTACAGCCCTGATTACTATCAAGAGTAATGAAACATATCTTATCTGTTAAGAAAATTTTTTACAAAATACATATAGAACTAAGACCCAGAGGCTGGGCATGAGGAGGCTATGTCTTATTAGTGCACGCTGCCATTCTAGCTTCCTTCATGTAATTGTTTTCTTCTYTTTGCTTAGCTCCATATAGAACCATAAACCAAGGAGTGGTGAGTACAGGAGACAAAGAATGGAAGTTAACATGCCAGTCAGAAGGATATCCGAAAGCTGAAGTAATATGGCAAAATGGAGGATATCAGGATTTCACTGATAAGGCAAACACAAGTTATGAAACTGGAAATGATCAGCTCTATCGTGTGACAAGTACACTAACAATCAAAAGCRGGATGGATGAGAATTTTTTCTGTACCTTCTGGAACAGAGAGCTTCAAGAAAATACATCTGCCATTTTATACGTAACAGGTAACAGTCCTGAATTTCATTTATAGCTGTCCTTTTCAAATTCATATATCATTTCAGATAAATCACTCATGATTTTCTTCTATTTTCTATCTAATTTCAAAAAGAAATACTTTGTAGCATTAAGAGCTGTTAGCAGTGTACACTTTCTCAATATTAATATGTTCACCGTGCATGGGAGAGGAAGGAACTAGTTGCTCAAGATAACCATTTTTCATGGTATATAGTTAAGCAAAAATTGAGTGTGCAACTGTCATTTAAAGGAAGTCCAATTATTTGAAAAACATAGAGCTTGGATCCTCAAAACAAATCCCTTCTTTATAAATTAAACACATTTTCCAAACATGTTGTGTTTCAGAGATGGGAACTGTCCTAAGAAATTCGAACAACATGTTTTTCTTTTCCTTGCTACCAGAGCCTTTGCTGCCAGAATCTTGAATTTAACAAATTGTGCACAGATTTTATTTCTGCAAACATCTGGTTTACCAGAAGGCAGCTGAATGCAGGAGAACAGCACAGTTTCCTGGAGGACATTTTAATCAGTCATCATCACTTGCYTACTTTTGTTTTTTCTCCTCCCTTGTGCCTGTGTTTGCTGGCACAGGCTTTGAACCAGACTGGAAACCTGGTCCAGCTGAAAAAGAGCCTCTTCCTGTTACTCATTCAGGTTATTTCACCAGTCTGGTGCACAGTATCTGTCCTGGCACAATTTTCATGGCTAGACCTCCTTTTAAAGAGTGGTAAGAATGAGACTACGGTTTAGGGAGGAAATACCTCAACATTTGAGGAGGCTGCCTAACTTTTGCATTCAGAGCTCTACCATCATAAAGGGGCTCTAGTCTCGTTCTGTAATCCCAATGGAATGGAGCTCACCATTTTGTTCCTTGATGGCTAGCAGGAAGGGGACTGTCACCCAGAATCCTGGAAGCAAAGATATATGTGTTTTATCTTTTATGTGTGTCTTATCTTTTTGACTTTTGCAGTGTAGAATGCTGCTATAATGTTTAAAATTCTAATAGCAGACAAAATAGCATGGGGGGAAAAAAAGGAAGAAAAATCAAAATGGAGAGGCTTGACTATAACCTGCAGTATCTTACCTCTTCTTTTTTTTTTTTTTTTTTTCTAAAAGATGCAGCTGAGGATATTCTGTGGACTAGGAACAGACGCTTTGTTGGTGCAGTTCTGATTGTGGTAGCTGTCTTCGGATCAGGCTTTCTGTTTATGCTCTGCGTAAGAAAAGGTATTCAAGCTATTTCTTKTAGCATATCTCAGTTATTATCCCATCTGTTGTGTTAATTCAACCTCCCAGGGGTGAGATAAGACAATAAAGACAATAAGACAATAATTGATTTAGTTTCTTCATCCTGAAACCACCATTTTCTTTTACCACATTTTTTTCTTTGTTTGAATTTATTGCATACTGGCTATTAAGTTAGCAGAGTGGAACAGCTTGTCAGCTCCTCACAGGCCACTTACCTTTGCACCTTTTAGCTGCAGCCTATATTTGGCTACAGGTARTTAGGTGGAACAGTAAGATTGCTTGTTTTTCTTTTATTTTTCCGTCTAAAGGTCAAAGCACAATTTACGTATGTAACATAACTGTAAGCTTCCAATTTTGAGCCCTTCTTTGTGATTTGATGCTGAATGCTGGGACTGGATATAGCTGTTTTATTTTATTTTATTTTATTTTATTTTATTTTATTTTATTTTATTTTATTTTATTTTATTTTTGTATGAGATATGAGGAACTCTAGAAAAATTGTGAGGGCATCTATTTTTTAAGAAGTTCTCTCTGTTATGATCTCTACGTATATCTTAGTTGTGGTTAAAAATATAATAAAAATAGTACACTGCATATGAAGTAGGTCTAAGCTTTTTAATCTGATTTTTTTTATATGAGATTCCTGTTTTGCCTTGGTAACCCTTGTTTATTTCATTTCCTTCTTATATCTTGAGCTTTTTCAGTTCTCTTGACTGCCTGGAATTGAATACTTTTGGCATCACACCAAGCTGAAGAGCTGAAGTGTTGGTCATAATTTATTTTCATTCACTAACTGACCAAAAAAAAAAAAAAAAAAAAAAGGGAGATAAAATATATTAAGGTGTCCTAAGGTGTCCTAAGATGAAAGTAATATCTTTTTGCCCCCAATTAAAGAAAAATGTTTGAAACATGTTGTTTAAATTTATGGTTTCATTTTCTTTTTTCCCTTAAGACAGATTTTTATATTTAGAGTGCTTTTTACTATTTGTTTTAAGAGATGCAATAAAGTCAAACATCTCTGAACATCTGTAAGTTTTATTTGGAAAATACAAAAAAAAAAGRAAGTTTTTATTGAGCATTTGGAGCTTCGTTAAAATAATTTATGTGCTTATAACCATTCAATTCTTTTGGCAAGCTATATACAAGGAAAACACTCAAGATGCTCAAAGTTGACAGTATTAGTATTACAACATCATACACTAGTCTGCAAAATACTACCAGAAATACCCCAAAAAGATGAACAAGATAATGGACTAGCAATTTATGTGGAAATTCTCAGAATTCTCAGTGWTCACACCCCGTAAATGGGTAGCTGGCATGAAATTCAGCTGGAACCAAAACAAAGGCTATGTAGTAATATCAACTGTGTTGTAACATTAACAGAGTTGTACTAGCTCAAGCTATATGATAAAACCTCTCTGCCAGCTCTCTTCTCCCTTTTAAAAACTAGAAACAGCACTATATTGTGGCTAGAATTCACACAAAAGCACTTCTCAGCAGAGTCCACTCTGAAATTTTATGTTCATGAAATACAAAGTAGAACTAAATGCAGATATCTATCTTTTGGTCACATACTAYTCTCTTGCATATGTGCTCTGAGACAGAATCTGGGAAAAGTATTTGTAATCCTAACAGGATTGCAGATGATGCTTATAGGCTACAGAAGACCTGCACCTCCCCCTGCATATCTGAGCACGTATTTGTCTTAAGAATGTGATGGGAATAGGACCATGATGAAGTAAATAGGAGCATGATGAAATAGGGAGCAGAAGATGAAAGTAAAAGAATGGCCAGCAGAAATCCTTGACTTCTCATAAGATTCCCATCTGGGGATTTCAGATGAAGGTCAGGAGTTTCCTAAGTTGCTTGAGAATTACTTGTAATGTACATTTCAAAATAAATCCTATGGATATTCAGAAATCTGCCTGACTATTGCATCTCTTAGGAAGAGGAGTAAAAAGCATCCAGGAGCTGATGCAGTCTTGAAACAAGCAAGAGAAGGACTGAGGGTTTTCCTGAGTTTTAATGAGTCTGTGATGGGACTTGTTCCCTGCAAACTGCCCCTCATCACTGCAGCTCAAGCGGGGTGCAGACCCTGTGCTGCAGGTCACGTTGGCAGTGCCTCTGCTGTGATTAATATTGGAGGTCTGTGTCATGTCACCAAGGACAAAGGATACCAAGCCCGGAGGACTGCAAGGAGAAGTTGCAGCTTCACTAATCGCTCTGTTTCTTCCTGTTGAGATACTGGTGCTACTTAACAAAGCTCAGTGAGTGGTGCCAGTACCACCGTGAGGGCGAGAAATGGAAGAGGGAGTTAAAATTTACTGAGAGAGAAAAGAAATTAAAATTCTCTTGTGGTGGCTTATGGGATTTTTTTTTTTAATTTGCTGTTCAGTTTTATTCAGAGACCACTTTAAATTAGACTGTTCTGTCAAAAAAATAGTTATTACTGACAGTTTTTTTTTTTTTTTTACTGTTGTTAGTCAAAAGAGACAAATTATTAGTTATTAATCCTTTCCCTTGCCTGCGTTTCAGTCCCACAATTGCTGGAAGGCCTGGAACAGCAGATTTATCAAAGAATATTTATTTARCAAAGATTTTTCAGTACATGGAAGTTAAAGCTATGCTGACTGTTATCTGTATGTGGTTTATTTAAAGAGCTGTTGAAAAATGGGCATAAACATGATCGCAGAGATGTTTCTTCTGAAGAGGAAGACCTAAAATGTAAGTAAAAACTGTAGTAGGTAGTAGCAAATTTCATACAGCACATATCTTCTGCAGTCTCTACATCTAGAAAAACAGGAGAGCCTTGATTCAGGGCTAGCTTGTTCAGTCTTCTGCTTTAACAGACAGAGCCTTAAGGAGAAATACAACCTCCCATTAACTATCTTATAAATTTACCATCACCACTGTTTGTGTAGCTGTTCTGGGAGTTATATCAAATAATTAAACTGGGTTTAAATAGAACAAAAAAGGTGCAAAAAATATGATGTGGGGATATATAATGCTAAATCCGTCTTGTATCTATCCTACACTTCTGTTATAAAAATAAATGGTTATCAGAACAGCAAGAGTGGTGTATGACAGTGGGAAGGGGATGAGGAAAGAGATTTTAGAGCATCGTGGCCACTCCAGTAAGTCTCAAGCCATGAGATTCTGCCTCAGGAAAATAAATGACCAAATTACTGAAAATCCTAAAATAGACTGTGATGTGGAACCAAAGAGAGAAGTAATTGATTTTTTACGTTCACTTTTTTTCCTATGACTTCCAAAGTACTTACATCACATTTCAAGTCCCTCCCTGCTACATTTTAATAAACAGATATGTCTGCCAGCCCCACAAAAATGTTTTCAAGATGGCCTGAGGATATAGCATTAAAGAAACTGACAGAATGGACGCTGAAGAAAGGGTTGAACTTTGAAAAGAAGGGAGATCCTAAGCCCCAGCAATTTCACTCTCTATGTGTTAGGAGGGCACTTTGCGTTATTGTGCTTGAGCTGCCACTTTCTTTCCTCCCATGATTATCTTCTGTTTCTGTTTTATCTAATGTTTTATTAATTTCATTTTTATATCATTAATTTTAAAAATAAAGGAAACTTTGTGTGGCCCTACAAAAAGAGTTTCAAGCTGTGAAATGTTTTGTTACTTCATAATTAATCCTTTGTAATTTGATAATTTGCTCATGTACTTCTTTTACAGATGGGCCAATTGAGAAGACTTACTGTAAGAAGGAGAAGCTTTTTTCATCAGTGAATATTTGACAGCTTCAATGTTCTATTTTCTGTTTATTGAAAGGGGATTTTAATATTTCGTTTTTATTTTGAGATTGCAATTTGTTTCCATATATTCCATATTTGTAAGTCAGGAAAAATTGCAATGGAGCAAATAGAATTATGATGGTATAAAAAAGCCTTTAGATTCAGACCTCTGTCTGCATGTTTGAATAGGTATGAAGATACTTATTCTCCAATCTCCACATTTCTGCTTTGTCAATATTATGCACTTTCAAGACCACATTTTATTTAAAGGCCTCTTTAAAGAAAAGCACTTTAGGTCTATGACCCCAATGAATTTTGTAGCTCTTTCTAGAATATTCCATCTTCTAGGATGTTTTTCCACCTGGATGTCTCAATTCTCTGCAGAACATTTGCTTGTCAACTTGTAAAGAAAATGTTTAATACTTTGATCCACATAAAATATTAGGGTGCGACACTGCAGAACGCCATAGGAGTAGGAGGTTATCTTCCTTATTGTAGGTTTTAAAAATATTGTTACCCACAGCTATGCTGAAACATTAGGAAACTCACTGGATACTGAAGTCTGGAAATAATTATGTAATACTGAGCTGCTTACACCTCCTGTTTTGAAGAAGTTCTTTTGGGGATATAATTTCTTTGTGTGATATAGCTGGCACTACTTGGTCACTTTTCTGATTACCATTTGGAGACAATGCAACTCTTTGGACTTTCAGGAAGAGCAGATCTTGATTTAGGCTGGCTTTATATTCACTTTTTTTTTAATTCATCTTGGAAACAGGAGGGGAACATTCGTATTTCAAGGACATGAAATACATGCTCATGTTACTGCTTGAGAAATGCTCAGGGAATATGCTCCTGTTTCCAGTTCTTCAGCCACTGATTTGTAACATTTGCTAGGTGCATAGCTTTGTGCATCAAAATATGCAGATTAAAATTATTTATTACAATGCTATTCACGGTTTTTTTTTTAATAAAATATGCTTTGTCTTTCTTGCATATTTTTTCTTTTTTTTTTCCCTGCGTTCCAATTCAGGTTTTATTTACTAGTTTAAAATAGATGAATCTGTCATGGGATCCTAAAGATATGAATGCACGCTTCAGCTGAGGTCTTCACTGATCAGTATCTGATCTAGCCGATATGAAATTGTGGTTAACAATGTTTCAGTAATGTTTCTGCAGGCTGCAGTAGGATAGAGAAATGCTTTTCTGAACTATATTTAGTCAGTAGTCCTGTATCAAGTAAAAAAAGTTACTATAAAATGGTTTCTCTAATTCATTGCAGTGCTTGCACATTTTAATACTGCACGTTATTGTTTGATTCTTCATAGATACTTTGTGAAGCTAACATGCGCTTTTTGAGGCATTGATCCTGATGCCATTGAAGACAATAGATAATTCTTAATTATTCCCATATCGTTAGAATCGCCTCAGAAATCTTAGGACCATTTGTGGGAAAAGCACTGACTCTCTTCTATGCACAAACATAGTTTTGCATTACCTTGTATATAGTGCCTCTTCAAGACAGCTTCTTTGTTTTGTATTTTCTCTTTGAGAACTGCAACAGCTATTTGCATATTAAAGTGAAAAGGCTATTTTTCCCTCTTAAATATTTGTAAGTGTTATTAGTGCTTACCTGGTATCATGAAACCAAAATCAGTCTTACAGAATCTTTATAAAGCTGCACAAACAAGCAGAAACCAGCGTTAGGATCGTGATGATTTATACAGACATGATAGGGCCAAATGTTAATGTTTAAATTATGCTATTTTGTAGAAACATGCTCAGCATTATGCATTTAGAAGTCATTAAAGCATAAAATTGCTTAGAATTTGCTTAGCTGCAGTAATAACTATTTCTTGTTTTCATGGGAAAAATACCTATTTCCTTGCCTAATTTACACAAGCACGATGGAACATTTCTTTAATTTTACATGCTACAGCTTTATACTAGGAGCTGAACTCTTAACAGTTATGACTTTCAGATGCCTCCTTTGGTTTTGTTCATTTTGACAGAAATCTATTTCTTTCCCTCCAAACAGAGTCAATGCTTGTTACATCATTCTTAATGGCACTGCACATAAGATGAATAAAATTMTGAAATAAGAAGTTTAAAATATATTTTAAATTCTGTAACTTTGCCTCCCAAAATGCTAATGTTCAAGCTCCTGAGTAGTTGATAGGAAACTCAAAATTTTGATACACACAAGAGCTGTGATCCTTAACAARTGATGTGAAAAAACCTATCCTTTCTAAACAAACCCCACTTTGTTTTCCTTTAACATCCAAAATGACACTTTAAAAATTTAATTTTAGCCCTCTTGAAAGTTAGATTTTCAGTAGAAGCTAATTCTCTGGGTTTCTTTTTTATCAATACAGAAAAACAGACCCACATGGTCCTCCAGTGGCATGAGTGATTTTGGCATAACTAATTTCAGTCTTGACACAGGGAGAGCAGCCAACTAACCAATAGTAAGTTTCTTTTGGACAAGTGTGAATTAGGTGACAGCACCTTCTGATACTAATGTAAAATTACATATTCCTAGTAGTGTTACCTTCCTTCAGTTAACAATTTCTGTGCGGTACTTCAGTGTTTGGTTGTCTGGAAGATAAAATCTAGTAGGATGTTAGAGCAGATCGTTTTCCAGTAAGCTGCATTTTCCTTATAATGGCCAAGTACTTTCAGATGCCCCAGGTTGCTCAGATTTCATGTGCATGCTCAGAACTGAGTGCTTTGAGTTCAAAGCTTATTCATTTGCAAAATGTAATTATGAATCAGTTTGGTCATCTGTTACAGAATATGACATTTCATTTTGTTCCTTGTTCTTTTCATTTGGTTCCTTGTACTAATTCTACTAGTTTAATAACATTAAAGAATAGCAAATATTAGTAACAGTAGAATCACTTTAGAGCAACATGAAGAATCTGTGCCCTATTCTCTTCTTTTGACCAAAAGATAGGTTTAATATCCTGACTTGACATCATGCACATCATGCAGCATTGATTTAAGCTGCAAAATGACAAACTGTTATCAGTGGGACTTACTTTTGTGGCATCTTGTCCCCAATTCTCTGTCTTCCACTCCATGTATCCAYGGACAGGCAATCCAGGTGGTTGTTCCTCCCAAGTCCTTCACAAATACCGCTCTGCTCAGAAGGTGCCCCAGGCGACTCACAGCTCAGGGCAGTTGCACCAAGCTCTCTGCCCTCCGCTGGAACAGAAACACATGAAGGAAACCTGTAATAGCCAGAGCTGGCTCAGAGTGAGCAGAAGATGGTGGAGGAGAGCAGGAAGTAACCTTGGGATGCCTTTTCTGTCAGCCTGGGAGAAAGCAAGGAAGATTCAAGGCACAAAAGAATGGATGARAGAATAAGGCATCTGAAGTTGCAAAAATTGGAGAAGAAATGGAATTCCAGTGAGGAATCTACTGTGATAAACTGGAAGGGGAGTTTAGTGTAATCATGATGCAGAGCTAGTCAAGAGATCTATCTTCCTTCCAACTCTGCCATAAAGATGCACCAGGAGATATCATTGGCACCTGAAGACCTGCTCTGCAGCAACCTTTGCTGCCTGTCTTCTGAACAGGACACCTGTCTTCCCTAGGCATGTGATGGAGGCAGAGCCACTAACAGTGGGACCGTAGTAGCGCAGTCRTTCTCCGCACAGGCACCACGGCTCCAGCAGAGACATTCAGCTTGCCACAATACATCTGGCAGTTCCTACCCCATAACGCCTATCGGCTTTGCACATTGTTCCTGTCTTTTCTGCCCTCTTATTCACTTTGCTGTGAACAAATCATATTAAAAAACTTATTCATTCCAAAGGATGTTTGCGTAAAAAATCCTTCCTACATAGGATATTGGTCTTTGCCTGGAAGGACAAAAACAAGCCAAGTGTTCAAGTGCTGGTGGCAGATGGAGGTAAGAGAAAAGTAAAGAKTAAAAGTATCAGATGGGAAGAAGACTAATTAAATTAATTAATTAGATTAATTAGATTAATTTCCCCCACTTCAACACATTAATAAAAAAAGTATAGATCTCATTCCCTTTGCTTTCTGGTATTACTTAATGCTGTTTATAAGTCACAAATCAAACATAATGCTGGCCATGATGGACTATATCTTGTAGGTGGCCTACCATCTAGTCCGTTGAATTCTGCCAGCTGCCAAATTGGACACTGAGGTTTTTCTGGGGAAAGGTCAGGTTACACATGGACAACTCTCTGGGCCAGGACTGAGAGCCCAAGAAAAGCTCACTGAGGGGGAAAAAAGAAAGGCAAATATTAGCATAACAGTGATGCAATCAAGATGAATTACTTGTACCAGGTAGGAGAACAGCTAATTTCATGGTCTGGATCACAATGACARTGTGGGCAGGCAGATATTGTACGTATCCTCTAACCAACAATAAATCATGGGGAGAAAGCCATAGTGATTGCTTCCCTTGTCAGGGATCAGACTTGCAGGTGATGCAGAACTGTCTGGAGATAAAAGTGCATATTTATGCCATGTAAAGCACCAAGACATCTGAGARATCCTTGGAGAAGGGGCCCCAGTGTCACCTCTGCACCCTCCTCTGTGTCCATCATTCATAGGCAGCATGGACTTGCAGAGTCGCCAGAAGATTACTGAGGTGGTTGCTGTCTTCTCAAGGCTAAGGTGACCTACAGCACAGCCRTGGGCTCCTGGACCCCCAAACAGCCACCTAGTCGTGCACAAGATTCTCAYTTGTCTCAACCAAAAAGATTCACTTAGCATTTGTCTTGATGATCTGGCAGTCCTCACCTAGTCTAAATCCCCCACTCAAAGTAGGACCAACTTGGACCAAAGTGCTCATAATTTGTCTTGCCAAGTTTTGAATGTGTTTTTATATGGATATAAACTAAACAGGAAAGTAAATGTATTATGCAAATATTAAACAATCCTTTAAGGTTTTATAAGGTTAATATGAAGAGAATTAAAAATAAAAAAGAAAAATAAAAGAAGTAACTTCACAGTTTCCTGAATGCAGAATGGTCCTAGTAARTGTGAGGTGTTCAGACTCCCTCCAAGACTACAAATTTCTCCAAATGGATGTAAATCCAGAAAAAAATGTACAGGTCTAATGAAAAGCAGAATTTGAGCATAAGAAAATCTGCTGGATGCTTTGAATTAATTTGTTTGTATGCATGTTCTCAGCAAGACTATTCATTGATTTCAGTGCTTTCAGAATGAAGAATGAAAATGAAACTGGAACAGCTCATAATTCCTAAGAAACCTGGTGATTTCCTCTGAAAATAGTCTCTTGCTGTACAATCAGCCTGAGGGCTGCATTATTGCTGCATGTTTTAAACTGACTGTGAGGGCTGGACTGCTGCTGATGCTGTCATGCAAACAGAGCTACTTTGTCTGTAAAACCTCGGATATCTAGGCTGTCAGAATAACCTGAGTCTTCCAATGGCTGCATAAAGATCTGATGTGAGTAGAATGCTGCTAGAATTCAAAACTATGTTTACTGTATTTCTTGTCTGGTGGATCACTGATTTTGTTTCTATATTCATAGGAATTGTTTAAATGAAGTTTGTTTTCAAATGATTATGAGGAAGTTGAGTCTGGATATCAGTGTGGGATAGAGTAAGCTCTGGGTCCAAATAACTTCAAAGCCTGGAGAATAAAGAATTTTTTTAAGTATACTTTGGAGTCTTCCAACTCCACTTTTTTTCTGGTGAAGGCAGAATGGTGGTGCYGAGGCGCTCTAAAGCTAATGAAATAGAACATTGTTGTTTCAAATATTTTATTCTGAATTTCAGGAAATAGCTATAAAGAGAAAAAATCCC